TGCTAAGTGCTCCTGTTTGTCATTTATTCCTGCACAGTTGGTGTGGAGCACCCATCATTTCGATGTACATGACAATCACAATAAACTGCGATTCTATTCTATTCTATTCTAAACGTAGCTTTGTCTCGTAGTTTGGGTTCTGTTCACACAGAGGAAAATCCAGGTGAACTCCAAGCCAATCAAAAAGCCAAACTGCAAACCACGTGAGAATGTTCCGTCCACTGATTGGCTGGATGTGTTGGAGAGCAACAAACTAAATACAGGAAGAAGATGCTCTTTTCTACACTATTGGAGAACCCAAGAATTTACACCCATTTCATGGCTGGATGTTAGTCAGTGCAGACTTTTGCACATCTACAGTACGTTTCCTCATCGTGGCCAATGGAAGCTTTTTAGTTTAGACTTGCAATGTACACCTGGGAACTGGTTTGGATCCGTTTTCTATCTTTTCAAGTCAAATATCTCAGCTTTACTTTAAATTACAGTTAAAACAGTGACCAAAGCTGCAAACGCAACCTTTAACATTTAAACTGTGCCGTTTTGTGCATGTTTTTTTTGCTCCAAGCCACATGCAGCATCCACACGGCCAATCCTCTCATGACGATACACAGCAGGGTGATTAAACGTTTATATAAGAAACAACTACAGCTGATGTAATGTTAACAACTGACATGTTTGAAACTGATCATTTGTCTACGTGTCTTCCATTGTAAACCTACTAATCAGTGCTAACATTGATAACATTAACAGTGTTCAGTTTCATAAATCATAAACTGTCACGATCTATGCTAACGGTCCCTATGATGTTCCAGTTACCAAAGCAGCGGAGATAGTAATAAACCACTGGACCACCAAATATGCCTCCTCGTGGAGCCATATCTTCAATCCACGTATTTCCTCAGAAGCATGAGTTCCCCAAACGCACCGACAGAGGTGGAAACTGTTTTTGCAAACTGTTCCTTTATACATAAATATAATACTGAGACACAAAATGATACAAACAAAAAGAGAACGTCGTGAAGCATTCGGTGCAGTTTTCCTCAGTAAAACCGTCATCAGCCCATAAAAGCTGAAGGTTTTTGATATTTCAGTCAAACAGCAGCAGGTCGGGCTCACGGACTGCTGTCGGTCTGTTGTTCGTTCCACTCCCCAAACTAATCTGGTTTAATCCCAACAGGAATCCAGCAAACTAACGCCTCTACATCTAAAATCTGAGCACGCAGCTTTTCATTACTTCCATATTAGAGCTCTGTGCTAATACGGCTCGATTTAACACAGCGGCTAATGTCCCCAAAACAGCTCCGAGTGTCTCAGGTTGTTAACGTCTGCAGCACACATCGAGTTCACGAAGGCCTTAAAGTTTGCAAACACCAGTTTATGAAGACAGGATTCACCAGGATTCATCTTCCACAAGTTTCCTGTTGGAATCTTAGTTCAGATTTAAAATTGACAGACATGACAGCACAGCAGTAAATACTGAAAACCAAAGAAGACACTGACACAGTGAGGTGTTTTCACTCTCCTAACCCTGAACAGGTGAGCTGAGACCAGCTCGAGGTTAACGGGGAAGCAGTGATGCCGTCCTCACCCTGCTATGAGGATGTAGATGTTTCGGTCAGTTTTGAAGTCTTTGTTTTTCTTCTTCACATTAAAAATAAAGAAAATCCTTTAAATAATTTGATGCCCGAGTAGTTTTGGACTGAGAACCAGAATTCATGCTGTCGTTGTGTTTCTTCAAACTTATTTGATCTCCTTCGTCCATCCGTCAGAGTGCGAAGCCTCCGATCTCTGGTGTCACCTAAGGACAAACTGCTGGGCTTAAAAATGTGACAGGAGGTTTGTAAACCTGAAAACCTTCTTTTAAACACAAACACTCCTCTGAAAGACGAGTGTAGCCACCGCCACCACAAAAGCACCCAAACATGAGCAGAAAGGGCCGAGAGCGGGGCTGCCGGTGGCTGTTGTGTCTCTAAACCAAACACTGAGTGTCTGAACAGCAGCCAAGCCTGAAGGGGCAACCGGCGAGCCAACAACGCCGGTCCTCATGGCAACCGTAGTAGTAGTAGCAGCGAAAGAAAGAAAATCGAGCTATTCAGAGAATGCACAACAACGTTTAATGTGTTACTCCACTGTGTGTCTAACACTGGAGGTGGGTGGAGTTTGGTGATACGTAACAGCTGGTGTGAGAGGACGCGTGGCTGCAGCGTTCAAAGAACACAAACGTGCAGACTTTAAAAATGGAGCAGCGACTGAACGACATCTACGAACGCCACAAGGAGGATGATGTCATCATCACAGACTGTATATAAAAGATGGATGAAACTTCCTGGTCGGAAATGTAGAGCAAACGTCTGAAACCTGCAGTCACGACAGAGTCACCATAAAACAGCTTCCCCACCTCACAGAGTGTCATTTACAAAAAGAAGACAGGACTCAAGGGACGAAGGAGCAGAGAAAGGATGGAAGGAAGGAAGGAAAGAAAAAGACAAAAAGAAACAAGGAAACGAAGGAAGGAAGGTTTTGAAAGCATTACTCAAAACATATATTTAGAAGAACATTTAGAAAGAAGTTTTTCTTTGAAACATTTTTAAAACTGGTTTAAAAATCAGAGATTTGTGTAAATATTTGTTAGGAGTTCATCAGCCTTCAGTGTCGGTCCTCAGAAGGGCAGACAGATATGTGTGTGTGTGTGTGTGTGTGTCTGTGTGTGTGAGTGTGTGTCTGTGTGTGTGTTCACACTGTAGCGATGGACACAGGCCAGAGCGTCCCCAATGAGCACGCACAGACCAGGGAAGAGCCCACCAATCAGAGCGCTGCTGCCACAGTTTTGCTGTCGCGGGGGGCCGCTGGCATCAATCAGGTCCTCAGGTACCTGCCAATAAAACACACACACACACACACACACACACACACACACACACACACACACACACACACACACACTGTTTACTTGTTGTTTACCTCCTTCACTCTGCAGCAGCCAATTAGGGTTCAAAGAGAGACTCAAAAAGTTGCATCACTTAAAGGGTCAGTGAACCCAAGTTAATCAAATCAAAGCTTTTGTGCTTCAAAGAATCATTTTATGTAAAAAACACAAACTCAGTGAACTTCAGATAAAAAAAAAAACAAGATTTTAGCAGCTTCATAATCAGAGCAGACGGCGAAGACACCGAGAGACAGAAGTACAGCACACTCACCTGGAGACAGCGAGGGTCTGCACCTGAGACACACTGCAGGGATTCAGCTCACACTGAGCATCAAAGTTTCATTCAACACAAACCAGAAAGTTTTTACATCTATGTTTCTTCTTCAGGGATCTTTTGTTTTTTTAATTAACACAACAATTAAACAAAAAACCTTGACAAAAACAACACAAACCAAACATAACAATGTGCACAAAGGATGTAAAATTACAAAAGCATGTCAAAACTTTCAATGCAGTTATTAAAATGTGATGAAAAAACAACAAAATCACGATCAGAACAAACAAAAAGAAATCAAAAGCCACAAACTGATGTAAAATTGCACAACAATAAATACATAAAGGTCCTTTATTGTAAATGTCATAAATGTCACTTCAGGTCAGAACATGATGTGAGATGACAAACAGTTGGCCAAAAAGATGCAACATGTGGACACAAAATAACAAAATGACCTCAAAGAGCGATGAAATTCCCCCAAGACAAAAGTGAAATGGACACAAAGTCACGTGAAATTACCTCCAAAAACTGTCCAAAAACAGATGTAATTACACACACGAAAAGACCGTAAAATGATGTGAAATCACAAAACTTTAAAGGATGACCAGAAGTGACAAAAGCAGAAGCAAAAGCGCCAAAATGACGTCAAATAATATAAAATTAGAGAAAAAAGACAGAAGATGCTATGAAACAACCGAGAGACATAAAAGCTGCTTTAATATACCTCCACCTTGTGGCCACAGGAGGAACTACAGCTGTGGGGTGACGGGTTAACACTGGAGGAGCCTTTTACACTAAAGTGTTTCCTCCTTCTGACTGACCACAGTTTTTGTTTCACCTCAGCCTCTGCCGGGTTGGAAACACGCACAGAGTCAGAATGTCAGCTTCAGTGTGCACAAACTGACACAAAATACCCACAAACACAAACAAACACACAAAACAACCAAAAGCAGCATCAAAATCGCCACAAAGTGGTTTAAAATATCTGCAAACACATAGAAAATGGTCCAAAGGGCAGAAAATGAAAACAAACTGATGCAGCATCAGCCAATCAAATCCCACAGAGACATAAAAGAACCAAAAACATCACAAAGAGACAAAAAATTATAATTAACAGTTGAGAAATCACAAAAAACAACCACAAAATGAACCATCTTACATCATTTAATCCTCACTGTGCACTAAGGGCTCCACAATGATGTAGAAAGCAAAGATAAACGACAGATGACAATAAAAGTAATTCACAGCATCTTCTTCAGTCCTGAAGGACACGATGAACGACCCCGAGCGCCTCCTCTGGCGCCACCTGGAGGACAGGCACACACTTGAGGTACTGCTTCTTCACCAGCTGCTTCTCATCACGCTTGTCACCCCGCGTGTGTCAGTGAGCCGTGTGATTGGCTCATTAGTCGGTATAAAAACAAAGGCAAGCAGCCAGCCAATCAGCACAAAGAAAACAGACCTCTGCTGCTTTCCCAGCATGCCTTGGGAGCGTGGTGGTCCGGCGAGTTGGAGCTGAACAGGAAGATCAAAACCTAAAATAATAAACGGGACACAAATTAAATTAAAGATTTAAAGTTAAACACCAACAGCTTGGTGAGTCCGAAGGATCAGAGCCGATATTCTGATATATGAGCCGATGTTGTCTTTCAGGCACATTAATCATAGTCAGAATTATTAGTGAGTTGTCATTAAGGCCGTAAGGAAGCGTGAACACTGTGTAAATAAGAGAGAGTTTATGTGTGGGCTCTGTGGGGAGCTGTAACCGTCCGCTTGGTGGTTTCGTCCCTTTAGTCGCAGCCGTGTTGCTGTCGGTGAGACCGAGAGCAGCTGATGGCTTTCGCAGGTCTGCTGTGTGGGACGGGTCGAGTCCAGGTCACAACCGCAAAGTCATGACTGGAACACTTTCAACGGGAGTGTGAGGGAGCTCCAGCAGGTCAGAGATACTGGAAACTGGGAACACCACCCCCACCCCACCACACCCGCCCACCGGCTGTGTGTTAAATTAATTTGTTCTTTTCCACCAGCTCGTCCCTGCAGCTGTCGTTGCCACAGACGCACAAAACAAGCGCTCCTCTGTCTGCTGAGACGTCACTATGTTTGTTTCCGTCTGTTGGCCGCATCAGGTAACAAAGGGCCGTCCAAGGAGACATGCACGGTCGTTAGCAGGAATCAAACCTGAGACCTGTCGTCCGTCAAACAGCAACAAACCTCTGTCAGCGGATCAGATTCTCGGCTTGCCTGGCCTCAGACAAACTTCCCCACCGGCCTCGTGTTTATTTTAAGTTTTTTCTCACGAGTGCAGGTTAACATCGCCGCAGCTGCTACTGTGCACTTTACTTTATTTTTTTACTTTATTTTCATGGCTTCTGTGCTTCAAAAAGAAGTCCAGCTGTATAAAAATAACTCACTGCTCACTTGATCATTAAAGGTGGACATAGCCACGCCCCCTAGTTATCAAACTTAATACACAGCGAGACCGTGGCTGTTTTTGTACCAGGCCGTAAACGTGATTATTCCTGCTGTAAAGTTTTAATGAGGACAGACTCACTGCCGGAGCCTCAAGTGGACATTAGAGGAACTGCAGCTTTTGACACGCCTGCGTTGTCCCTTGCTTCAACATCAGCGTGACTTTTATTTTGAAACTTCCTTTCAATCAAGACTGGACTCAGTTATTCAGAGGTGCCTGTAACTTCTTTATTGCAATAATGTGAACAATGTTTTCTTCTTTGCAAACAGAGACAGTATAAAAGATGCCAAAGTGAAGCTAACACAAAGGTGCCTTCTTTTAACAGCCAGCAGGGGGCGACTCATCTGGTTAAACAGGCTTGCTGTATAAAAACGACCCTCGCTCTGCGAACACAGGAAAGTCTCTCTGAGAGCTCTCGTACCGAAACCTTCAGACGACAGAAAAACTTTGGTCCAAACTCTAAACACTGCAGTACTACTAGAGACTACGAGATACATGTGCGTGTATTTTAACTCATGTTAACTCTTATTTCCATTCATATGGATTCATGATGTCTGCACCGCTCCGAGAGATGCTTCACATTGCATCGTTCACCTGTACATTAACAAAGGCCTTCTGTTCTATTCATTTTGTGAATTTTGCTCATTTTAAGATTATCCGGGTTTGTTCACTGGCTAAGCACTGTTTTGTTTTTGGACTGCTGTTTGAGACACGTCTGCTGAGCTCTTCAGCTTTTGAAACTTAGACTCGTTTTTGTACTTGAACTTTTGTGTTTCCCAGCTCTGTGCCGAGTCCTCCCGTCTTTAGCCCAAGCTTGGTAAATATCCTGCAACCTTCAGCTGTTATTCAGGCACCGGTGGCTGCTCTCACTTCCCTCCATAAAAAAGCAGAGCTGAGTCTGTGCTTCGCCAACTGTCCCCTTAAAGGAGATTAGAGTTCTCGGAGCGGAAAAGAAAGTGTTGCTCATTTGTCTCCCTGCAGGATTTTCTGTCCCGTCGGTCCGCCGTCCTGCTGACTCTGCGGTAACGGCGTAAAGCTCCAGCTGATGATTCATGGATCGGATGACTCAGATCTTGTGAGTGAAGCTTCTCTGGGCCAAATCAAGCCGGTAGGATTCCCCCTGGATATTCCCTGCCGTCCTCGGTCTCACGCCTCCGGCTTTCCTGGATCTCACTGTTTACTCAGTCAGCTCTCACAGTGAAAGCTGAGCCGCGGCTCTGTGTGGATCTGCTCTGAAGGTTATCGGGAGGTCTGAAGGTAGTCAGACACCAAAACAAAGACACACAAAACTCTCATCACAGGAGTTTACCAATCCAGGAGCTGCTCTTAGCTACACCACCACATCAGCAGTCGAAACACTTAAACCTGCAAAGGTTCATCAGACATGTGACCATGGGCCTGTTCTGCTTCTCCTTGTTTCCTGTTATAAACATCTCCTGCTCATGTTCCACATGGCCAAAGTTTCTAATAAAGAGCTCAGACGGCTGTAAACAGTCAGTTTATCGCTGATGTCATATAGAGGTCACATCCCTAATATGGCCGGTGGGCACTGAAGCTCCACCCACCAAGCTTTTAGTTTATGAGGGGCATCCAATCAGAAGAGCATTACCTTAAAGACGAGCTAAAACTGCTCATTTGAGACAGAGGATGAACTGAGAGGACTGGTATATGATTCTATAAAGTAATGATTATTTTGATTTGTGAATCATACAAAGCTACTCATACAAAGCAGTAATTGAGTGTAAGAAACGTTGTTGTGGGCTTTGATGGTTTTGGTCAGTGGTTGTTGATCAATGGTCATGAGAATTTGCATAATTAAGATTAAGGAACTGACCTCCCAGCCCATTGTTCCTCCAGTGGGCTGGTTTCAGTCATTATGCAAATGTTCTGTTTATGAGATTGAAACCTGCGGTCAGCTGAGACTGAAGAAGTCACTTGGATGAGTGACAAAACGTTTCTCCCACAAAACGCTACGTCCAGATGAACAGAATCAACTTTTTGGAGGTCCTTGTGTTGTTCAGCATCCATCTTCTACCTTTAAGACTCCACATGGCTGAGTTATTTAAAAAAAAACCACAATAAGTGTGTGTTTACTCAGGTAATTTCTGCTGTAAAGTTTGAACATTTTAAATATTTTTTACATGGGTGTGTATGGGGACGGACTCTAGTGGACATTGTCAGGCTGCTGCTTTGATGGACAGATTTCAACAGCTGATTGTGAACAAACGAAAGAGCTTCAGAGCCGCTGCAGGCTCTGAAGCTTTGATGCGGCGTCACCATCGCGAGTCAGGCTTTGAATACGTCAGCTGACCTGATTTGCTAATAATCTTTTTAATTACATTTGTGACAACTGAATTCTTGGCATGATGCTGCTTTGCCCAGGCGTTTCGTCAGCCATGTTGGCTCCACAAGCCCGCTCCCTGACCCTTGCTGCAGGTAACTGTGTTGTCTCTGTTGCCAGGGTGACGTTACTGATGAACGGTCCAAAAAGGGCAAACAATGACTCACCTGAAGCGTCACTTATTTCTCACCTTTAAATGTTCCTGTTAGTTTAACCGCTCCTGATTCCTGTTCAGCCAAGTGAATCAGCTGACAGCGCCTAACTGTTTCCACGTAACGTACAAGAACAGCAGCTCAACCGACAATAAGTTATATGAGCATTCAAATAACCAGCACTCGGACATCACACCACAAAATCAGTAAAATAACTGCGACACAGATCCACTGTGATGGAGTCACACTTGAAACACTCCAAGAAATGCTAGCTAACTTTAGCGTAGAAATAGAGTTGGATGCTAAAGGCCTTTTCAGGCATGTAGCAAACATGTTTAGACAAACTTGAGCATGCCAGGTTTGTTTAGACAGTAAAGTAGCTTCTTGTATTTAGGTAGGCAAAGTGTGTAGTTTAGACAGGGGTTGTGTCTTATTAGTGGGCGATAAAAAAATCACACAAACAATGAAGCTAGCAGTTAGCACAGCGTATGCTGCTGCCTGTGTTAAAGGGCCATAACACCACTAAACACCAGACGCTGTTCTCCCAGCACAACACAGACTCCAAGACAAACTGCACATGAGGACAGAAACTAAATCTCTCACAGGCTTAGACGGAAACAGAAAACATTAAGGTTAGTCGGCTAGCTTGGCTAACCATAATGTCATTGCTAGAAAATCATAGTTAACTTTTGTTTTAACTGGCTCATAACACAATTTTGTGACTATTTGTTTTTAATTCAATAATTTAAAGAAAATAAAATTGGTTACAGCGTCTGCTCGTTCAGATCCAGTTTGGTATTGGACCTGGTTTGACTTCACAGAACCGCCACAGAAGATGGGACTCTGTGCAGTCCTGTGGAAAACTAAGAACACCTTCACTGCTTCTATAGGAATTAAAACCACCTCGGGTGGATTTAGGTGTGATAACACAATTCCACAATCTTCCCACCAGTGGTCTCAGCAAAGTCACCCTACCAAACCCAAAAGCTCCATCTCGTACTATACAGGTCTCAGTTAGCATGTTAAAGGTTAAAGTTCATGACGGCACGGTTAGAGATAGAGCCTCTTTTGTAATGCCTCTTTTGTAAATCCATAAAGCACAAAACCAACATTTCAGGCACCTCACAGTCCCTAAGTGGACCATGAACTCCTCTGTATACCAGTGTGAGCCTGTCTGTCCCACAGCTAAAGCTCTGACCATGAACAGGACAATGATCCAAGCACAGCAACAGATCTCCAACAGAACGGCTGAAAAAGAAAAGCGCTGCAGAGCTCAGAGAGCTATGCATGGATAAATGCTGCACATGTCAATGAACTGAAGCAACACTGTGAAGACGAGTGGACCAGAAGTCCTCAACCATAATGCAACAGACACATAGAGCCACACTTTACTTTTATTTCAGGTTATTGGTGCTTAAGCAGGTTCTGTGGGCTCAGTTATTCACAGCACTGCAGACTTACAGGCTCCTGTATTTAGACTTGTGTGTGCTGCTGAAAGGGCAACAGGAAGAAAAAAACGAGTGCTAAGATGACATCACCTCGAGCAGAGAAGGCCGTGGACTAATTAAAGGGTGATTGGTTGGGGGATGGTGGGCTTATTATTAGCATATTAGCTGGAGTGTCATTACCGTTATTAACCCAGGTGTGTTTTCTCAATGACCAAATTCTCCATCCCGAACGGACGGATGGGTGGAACGGAGGTCGTACGATCCCGAGAGGATAAGTGGGAGAGAGCCCTGTCGCCATAGCAACAGAAACACAAAGAAGATGGGGATCAACTTCGAGTTCACGGCAGGACAGAAAAACATGTCGCCGTATGACCTCATCCTAACTTTGACACGATACTCCTGTCACGAAACTGCACGCCAGCAGAGGAATGTGATTGGCTCTACTTCTGCAGCCACTTCCTGTCCAAGATGGCTTCTCTTTATTATTAATACTGTAAACATAACTGCGTCAGTCAGTGTGGCAGCAGCTTGTTTCTGTTACTCATCAAAGAGTCTGACAGAAGTTTGGGTTTTGTTGTTTTTTGTATCACTTTGTGTTTCTTTGTTGTTATTTGTGATGCAAAAGAACTACAAATTGTTTGGTTTCAAAACTATTTGTATCTTTTTTTCTTATTTTTGCATCTCTGTTGTTACTTTTTATTGTTATTTAGCAACTATTCATGTCTTTGACGTTTGTTGTCATTTTCTCTTTGTTTGCATCTTTGTGCTCATTTTGTTGTTGCCTTGCTACATCTTTTGACTTCGCTTTGTGTGTCTTGGTGGGAGTTTTGTCTCTTTTTGCCATTGTTTTGCAGCAGTGGTTAACTTTATGCACAGTTTCATTGGCGGCCCATTCTCGTGTTTGCTTTCTGTTTCTTGCACTTCCAAAGTCTGTCTCGGTGAACCTGCAGACCCACTCAGGTTGCAGACATTTAATGTTTCTCTGGGAGAGATCTGATGTCTCGTGTGGAGTGCGATCGGAGCACACGGATGGTGCAGTTGGAGAACAGAGACGAGTCTGAATGTGTTTATTTTAAAAACTGACCTTCAGGAGGAAACTGAGAGCGGGGAGGACGGAGGGAGGCGTGATTGCTCCCAGGAGCTTTCATTAACAGGTAATGGACCTAATGATGACATCTTACACACATGATGGTGGAAAAGAAGAACAGGAAGTGATGCCACTGGAGCAGAGGCTGCTGATTGGATAGGAGATTCTCAGGCAGCTGCAATAAAACTTGATGTGTGAAGCCAGAAGAAGACACAGAAACAGAGCGAGGCAACGCAGCAGAGATCAGCTCCACACTGAAGGTACAAACATGCATGTGTGTGTGTGTGAGAGAGAGACACAGGTGTGCACAGGTGCAAATTAATGCCACTTCCCAACATTTTCTATTTAAATTTAAATTCCTTTCAGAGTTGAAGTTTTCTGCTCGCAGTTTTCTGTGTGTGAGTTGTTTGCTGCTTCTTTTTGTCATCTTTGATTCTTTCTGCCAACTTTCTGTGAAACTGAAAACCTTGTGTGTGCATGATCTCATTTATGATTTCTGGCTAAGAAAACAGAGACTTGGACAGGTGAACATGAATGAAATATGTCTTTAAATCTTCACACGAGCAGCGTTTAGCACTGAAAATAAGACCTGGAGATGAACGAGAACTCTCTTCTCAGAGGAAGTCTAAAAAATGTGATGCTGATGTTCAGTCTGCTGCTGGGCTGCAAGCAGATTTTTGTGAATGGAAGGATTTGCAGTGTAAGAGTGTGTGTGTGTGTTTGTCCTCACACGTGCATGAATGAGAGAGCTGCAGCTCCTCAGCATCAGCAGCAGGTGTGAACAGGAGCGTGCACAAACCTTTGTGCATCGTCAGGAATGTATGTGAGTGACGCAACACGACAACAAGTGTTTGTTTCTGCGTGTCTGCTTGCAGGGGACACTGTGTGTGAGTGTGTGTACAGGAGTGTCAGTGAGTGTGCATGTGACGGTCAAAAAGGCGTTTATTTGCAGGGATGGAAAATGCTAAAATTAGCCGATGTTGCTGGACAATACACTTACAGCCATCAGCCGAGCTAAAAGTGCCCCCCTCCTCATGTGTGTGTATTTAAAACCATTGTTGTGAGGACGCTTCGGTTCCTCTGAGAGGTCAGACCCGGTTTGGGGGGCCTGAAACTGTCAGACTGAGCTCTTTCTGCTGATGTCACAGAGCCGTCATTAACGTCTTTGTGAAAAACCACACTCTGTAAACAAAAGATGGACATGTGCCCATGACATCACTCACGCTCAAATGTGGAGGAGAATGTTTCGATCACGTTAACGCTGCAGCTGAGCTGGTTTTAAATAAATAAATAAAAAATGTTTTATTTATATAGCACCTTTCAAGACAGAATCACAAAGTGCTGCACATAAGATTACAAGTCATAAAAAGATTTAAAAAGAGAAAATAAAACAGGCAAAAAATTAACCAAAAGCAGTTTTAGAAAGGTGAGTTTTGAGTTGCTTTTTAAAAACAGCGACTGAGTCCACAGTTCTTAATGTTTGGGGGAGAGGTCCACAGTCTGGGGGCCACAGTGGCAAAAGCTCTGTCACCCTGAGTCCTCCTCTTAGTATTTTTAAAGCAAGTAAGCCCTGATCAGATGACCTCAAAGACCTGCTGGGGACATCGGGCTGTAGCAGATCAAAGATGTAGGCAGGTGCCAGTCCGTGCACAGCTCTGTAGGTCAAGACCAGGATCTTAAAATTGACTCTAAATGTAACAGGAAGCCAGTGAAGCTGAGATAACAACGGTGTCACATATGAGTACTTGCAGGATTTTGTCAAAAGCCTCGCTGCAGCGTTTTGCACAACCTGCAGACGATCCAGAGAACCTTTGCTTAGACACATAAACAACAAATTACAATAATCCAAGCATGACGACATAAATGCATGTATAGCAATCTCCAGTTCAGAGCGAGATAAAATCGGCCTCAGCTTAGCCACATTTCTTAAATGATAAAAACAAGACCGAACCAGAGATTTCAACACCTAAATTCCTGATAGAGGATTTAACATAAAGTGAGAGAGGACCAAGGGCTTTCACTATCTGCGATAGAAACCTATCAGGGGCGCATACAAGGACTTCGGTTTTCCCCACGTTGAGTTGGAGGAAATTTGCAGCCATCCAACGTTTGATCAAATCTAAGCAATCATTCAGACGCTGAAGCTTAGATAAATCCTGGGGCTTAAAAGAAACATACAACTGAATATCATCAGCATAACAGTGATAAGAAATGTCCTCAGAAGAGCCCATTATATGCCGGAGGGGGAGAAGATATATTAAAAACAATAAAGGCCCCAAAACTGACCCTTGAGGGACACCATAAGTAAGGGAGGTAGAGGATGACCTAAAATCGGAGACCGCCACAGAAAAGGATCAGTGATAGAATAGAATAGAATAGAATTCAACTTTATTGTCATTGCACATGCACAGGTACAGGGCAACGAAATGCAGTTTGCATCCATCCAGAAGTGCTTTAGTGATATAGATATATTACAATATATATTAGTAATAATATAGATATGTGAGTATATTACAGAAATGGGTCTATTATGGTATGTTATAATGTACACGGTATGAAGTATGTTGTGAATATTCTATAACTATAAGTATGTACAGGTTGTAGTGAGTACAAGCTATGTACAGGCTATTAACAGGATATAAATATGAAAACTATACAGAAGATGGATGGAGATAAGAGGAGAACCACTCCAAGGCAGTTCCAGATACACCAACCCAATTTTTCAGCCTTTCAATGAGGATGTGATGGTCAGCTGTGTCGAAAGCTGATGTGAGGTCCAACATGAGTAGAACAGAGCACTTTCCTGCATCATTATTCATCAAGATATCGCTTGAGACCCTAAGAAGAGCTGTCTCCGTGGAGTGAAATCGACGAAAACCGGACTGAAACTTATCGTAAATGCCATGTTTATCAGGAGCTGCCATAAGTTGCTTAGCCACTCATTACATGCTTATGCAGAAGAGAAAAGGTAAAACTGTAAGTTAGATAGTAATGTAATTACTCTGTGTTTTTGAGGTCCTTTATGCCAGTTCATTGAAGCATTACGTTTACCTGACTGATCGTTTCAGATGCAGTTCTGCTTCTGTTTGCTGCTCCCCGGCCTCCTGTCCTTCACTCTGCTCCGCTGCAGCGTCGACGGCCTCAGAGTCCAACCGCAACCTGCTCGGGTCAGTGTGCGCACACACACACACACACACACACACACACACACACACACACACACACACACACACGCCCTCTCATTTGACTCCTAAAACCCATTTTCAGCAGCCCTGTACAAAAAGTCCTCACAGTGCTCTAATGTCCCCGTAATGCATAAACGTCATCACAGTTCATAGTTCGCACTGATCTCCTCACACGTGTGCATGTCTTTCTATCTTTGTGAGGACCAGACGTTCGTGTTTCACCAGTGGGAAAGGACATTTACTTTCTTTCAAATACTTCCATTCTGTGCGCTTTAATGTAACCTGTGAGGAAGTACTTTTACATCATGTACTTCAGGTAAACTTTATAAGTACTTTTATTAGGCAGGATCCCGTCACACCATCACGAGAGCCAAAACAAGCAGCTCCTCCCTCGAGGGCTCGGTGCTGATATCAGATGGCGTGAGGCGGCGGGGAGGGAAAGCCGAAACGTTTTTCTGTTTAGTCTGGATGACACGAGATCTGTCGGAGTCATCTGAGGCAGCAGGCGGACAGGAAGTGAGACACCGCTCGCTGCCGGGGCCGTGGCGTGAGAGACAGGCTTCAGTGTGGAGGCGTAACATACAAAAACACAGTTCAGTGTTTTCCATACGGAGACTCCCTCATTGAAAATAAAGATGGAGGCGGCGTCGGAGGCATTTCACAGCATCCCCTTGATTTACGTTTTTATCAGCAGACCAAAGTTCCCAGTAATCAGGAGGCATACGGGTTCACGTGTTAAAGGACAGGAAGTCCTTAAAACTGGACAGGAAGCACTGGATCAGACTCACACTCCTTTCCTTGGATATCATGTACAAAACCTTCAGCTCTAAGCCTTATCCCGGGTAATTTCACACATCCTCTCATACTCTCCTCATTTTCAGTAGATAAACTTGTTACGCCTTTATCTGATCCAGCAGGTAGACCAGCCCATTTTGAGATTTCATGCAGCCCCTCAGTCCCGCCCTGTAGGTGTGAAGGTGGGGGAGGAGCTGACAGCAAAACTGCTCCAATCGGATCACCTGATGAGGATGGAAAATGATGTCATGGAGCCAAAGAGGAAGAGGAGCTTTCCCATCAACAACGTCCCGCTGGACCGCCTGTCCATCAGCTCCATGGAAACGAAGCAGCAAGGGTCAGACAAGCAGAGGTAGTCACCTGTGAGAATACCTGAGAACACCTGAGACGCAGGGATGAGTCTAACGCCTCCATGTTCTTCTGTCTGCAGTAAGGTGGTGGAGTCGCCACGGCGACGACTCAATCCACCGCCCATTGACAGAATCGGGATGGGTCGTCTGCCAAACGGCAGAGGGTAGGCCACATCCCCTCCGTCTGAAAGCCCACCCTCTCTCCACAGCGCTCTCACTGGACAGGTGCAGAACTGCATGTGACTCATTTTCATAAAAGTATCAGTAAAAACACTAAAATGGTCATTTATCTCTACAGATGCATGAAACCGCCAATCACCTGCTGAACCACGCCCACACTCACTTCACCTGGACACGCCCACCTGACACCCTCACTTCACCTGGACAGCCCAACACAAAGCATGACTGTTCAATGATGGTGCGTTCAAATGCAGCTCCGTAAAGTCGGCACACATAGAGAGGAAGTGATTTCAACAACACCTGCGATTTGCTTCCATGGCAACTCGTTTTAACAAGCATTTTATTTACCTGTAAAACTTACAGGTAAATAAAACTTTTTTAAAATACTGAATTTAATCAAGGTGAAATCTGTAATGTGAGCAAATCTCGAATTAGCAGCACCAACAAATATCCTGACGTGTGAGATTAAATATACTTATTAGTTTCCACCAATGAGAAGCTTTGATTTCAGATTTATTAAGAAATAAATATGTTACAGCTTCAAAATTTGTATTTGGATAAAATCAGAGCCTGATCTCAGAAAGATCAAATCATCAGAATCGAGCAACTTTGACTATAATAAGAATAATTTGGATGTTTTGAGTTTTTTCATTTATAAATTTTTTCATCTTTTTGATTCTTTGCATTTAATATATAATTAAAAAAATTAAAGGTTAGAGTTTGAACATTTTAACCTCATTAGGATTAGTGTTAGGAAACAATAATGCTGCAGTTTTCCGAGTGTCACCTGAATGCACCATCGCCGGCTCCTCCTGCTGTTGGGACCCTGACTGGAGGCGTTGTTGCCTCGACTGCCCTCGCAATCGTCCAACACCAATCGAGTTTCGTCCTCGCACATTTGTCTCGGAGTTGTGCCGCAGGACTGTTTCCACAGCAACGGCACATTTCTACTGCGACCGTAAACAGTGGACAAAGCTACTGTTACGTCATCTCAAAGTCATGAGATTAGCATTTTCATCATCAACACCTTAGTCGCAAAGCAGACTTCCTGTTCAATATGACCCAAGATGAGTGACTGAGTCCATCAGCAGCAAAGTGTTTACAGAGGTCAAGCTTCTACAGCGCTGGAAGTCTTTTTGCAACTGCAGCAGTCGCCACCTGGTGGCTTTTTGATAGAATGCAGGTTTAACTCTCCTGGATTAGCTTTATTTTCCTCACCAGGAAACTATGTCCATGTTTTATACCATCTATGACGGTAACACATCTAAAGTTTGTAAACTTGAAATGAGAAAAAAATAAAATAATAGTCCAAAAACAGGTTTAAGCGTCCGAGTGGCGCTGCAGTGGAAACTGTCCTGCTCACTGATTCTGTTCTGATGTGCTTCTTCCTGCCCGAGTTTAACTGTGCTTAATAAAAAGAAAATGACAATGAAGTTCTGAGTGTGACTGATTTTTTCTCTTTTTCAACCCCTTGAGGATTTTAGATCATGTGCTAAAGGCTACAGTTCCACTAATGTCCACTAGAGGCTCCACCAGTAAGTCCCTCCCCATGCTCCCAGAAATAAACATGCGTACAGCCAGGTGAGTTTTTGTTGAGTCTTTATTAAGAAAAGATCATGTGATCCAGAACAGTGCACACAGAACGGCTGGTTCACACAATCCACGAATGATCCGGATCAATCAGAGTCCCGGCATTTCTTGTGTGAACTCATCCACCGAGGACTTCTGTACAGCTGCTATGGGAGCAGAGAAGGGAGATAATGGACCAGACTATCAGCAAAATACAAACACCTTCACATTCAGAGACGGAGAGCGCAGACGAGACTTCACCCTCAAATCCAAACCAGAGAACTTGAATGTACTCTGGACAAGAAACTCCAAAATGATCCTCTGATTACACAACACGTTCATCTTTAACCAACTCTGTCAGCATGGCAGTTTACAAAATATATTAAAAAAAAGAAAGAAAGAAAACAAGCTAACTACTAATACAAGCTAATACCACAGAGCAATTTAGTCTTTAAATGTAGGCAAATGGCTTGAAGATTACATAAGAATACAGATGTTTAGGACAATGCTAGCTCACAGCTAACATTAGCTATTGTTAAGAACTCAGCCAGTTAAATCAGATGACATTATGCTAATGTTAGCCAAAAATGCTCAAACGCTTAAAATCAACATTTTATCTGCAATGCTACCTTCAAAAATCAGTGCCTTTGTTAAATTAGCTTTACCTAAGGCCAGTGCTATCATGCTAACTTCCAAAACTGGGCTAAGAGATAAATATAAATAAAATGAGCTTCACCTCCAAACCAGCTAAGATAATAACAGTGTAATTTGCTGACAGCTAAAAATAGCTGTCACCTCTAAGGTGAAGCTAACATTAGCTAATATGATAGCATTTGTTTAATTAATTTGTTTTTTCTGATGTAGCTCAATGCTAGCTACCAAAACAACCAGTTAACAAAGCTAAAATGGCTTTGATGTTAGTTTCACTTTGAAGTTATCTATGTTAACCATTCCTTAGAATTATTAAGGTTTATAGCATTAGCTTAAATTACTGATGTCTGCATTATTGATAGCTAGAAACTATTATGGTTTACTTTAAAACATGTGATCACTAACTCCGCCCAATGAACCGTGCATCACCACCAATTTAAAGGCGAACAACGATGTTCTACTCAAAAGAACACAAGAAAGTAAAGTGACAGGGCTGATAATAATATGTGGCCATAGTTCAATATTCACTGTTAGCATATAGATAAACATGAATGTTGGCTTAGAAGGCTTACAGACCTTAATAGTTTTGACATAAGGCTAACATAGCTAGCTAATATAAGCTATTGCTGCACTTTTTTTTTTCAAGACAAAGCTAATGTAGATTGCTAACAATAACATCATAATTTTTGTTATGCTAGCTTTACAGCCAACTCACTCTGAGCCGAGGTAAAACTAAAACAGTAGGCTATTTTTACAGATTTTATTAGCTCCGTAGCATATCAAATGTAGATGACTGCTAACATGACTCAGCTTTTGATACAACATCATCATAAATAACAGCTTCATTTTAAAGAAATACAAACACTCGCTAACATTTTAGACTTTGAGATAAAAATGCTGCCAATAATAAAAAATAAAAAAAATAATAAAAAAAACAGAAAAGAAAAGACTATGTGATGCCAGTATTTGTTAACACTGCGACTATCGCTGATTTTCAGGTCAAGCTAATCAAGCTAACTGCTAACACAAGTTGAACAATAAAGCAAATAATTAAAGTGTTAGCATTAGGAAACGTTATTTTTGGATCATTTTGGAGTCTTTCATGCGTTTTGTTCAGAGGACAGACAAGTTTACAGCAGATAACACATTTGAACTGAAGCCAACACGGTCTGACAACAGCCCCTTTTTTCAGTAAGGCAGAGCTGGACCTGAGGAGGGCAAAGCTGCGGGTTTGTTCAGAAACAAAACAATAAAAAGTAAAAACGATAAATCCTACTGAGTTTAGAGCAAAAAAAAAAAAAAAAAAAAAAAAAAAAAAAAGAATCAGAGCGGCATTCGATTGCCTTCCACGCTGATTTTAACAGCGTGACCCGTCTTCGTCAGGCGCCGGATGTCAGCAAATCTACGCATCTGTTTATCAACACGGGACAAACTCTTCCTCACCGGACCCTGGAGGCAGACAGACACACAGAACAGGAAGTTACAGGATTTACATCTTGTAATCACACACTGAGGTAACAACACAAAGACAACCGGTTTGTTTCGCACACTTCACTGCTCATGCAGGAAGATGTTTCACAAACACCTCGTTCAGAGCCATCAGATGGGAAGACTGTTCCTAAAGACCATTTACAGTTCAAAATAAGCTTTATTTGTCTCATTCTGCCCCCTCGCTCTGTGTGAAACAAGCTGCTTTAACTCCCCTCCTCCCTGAACATCTATTTGCTTCTGATTGGACAGCTTCTGGAAGCCTGCTGCTGGACGTGTGGCTGATTCCATATCAAAGTGAAAACATTTCTTCCTCCGGGTCAGCTGACTCATTTCTACAGTAAATGTATTTTATTTAATGAAGCCATGCAAATTACAGGTACACTGTCCCACACACTGCACACCTTCTCACCTGTGGAACGTTACTTCCAGTCTCTTAGTGATTATCTCTCTCTAGTGCATGAGTTTGGTGTTTATTAGGCTCAGAGGTGCTCGACGGCTGCAGCAGAGATGTTCATGTGTTCATACAGCAGGAAGGAAAATGATTCAACCCTGGGCACTGCGTATGAGGTCACATGACCTCTGAGTACATTAGTTTGTTAAAGTTAAGGTTTTGTCCGTTGGTTATGACACGATCAGAAGGTTTATCAGTGATTGGTCTGACGTTAGAGGTCTGAATGACTGAAGTGTGATCGATCGTGTGCTCTTCGCTGTGTTCAGTGAACTCTGTTTGGGGGTTGGATAACTTTGCCTCCACTGTACGTCTGCACACTGCCGGTGAGTCAGGCTCTTCACACCATGCAGACAGACTTACTGCCCCCTGCAGGGGAGCAGGGGAGCTACAGGGGCATTCTGTTTCCCTCTATGCTGATCTTCACAGCTCCCTGCGGCCGCCCCAATTTTCTCTGCTCGGCGAAACGCCGTTTGTGCTTCTCCAGCAGGCTGATGGCCTTCTTACAGCCGCTCTACAAAGGACCAATCACAGCTCAGCTCCTGACAGCAGGTAAACTCCTTGTTCAGAGCTTTACAATCAAATAGAAGCAGAAAATAACCCGATGTCTGTTCCAGCACAAAAGTGTTGAAGTGTTTGTTTCAACTTTATTTAAACTTCAGAAAACTGACTGTTTATATAAAAGTTCTTTATTGTTATTCGTATTGTTTTTTCTTTAAAAACGCGTTTGCTCTTAGAGAGGTTTAAAATATATTTGTTTAATTTTGGAATTTTGTATTTGTGATTCATTTTGTAAATCGTGAGTAAATAATTTGTTTGACTCAATTATGAAAAAACTGAAACCAAATGTTAAACTCTGGATATTTCATAGGACTGTGCCTAAAGGGGGCGCTCTGCTGTTTAGTTGAAGTGTAGCCACGCCCTGAAGCACACGCCATCGGCCCGTGTGACCACTCACCCTGCTGGAGTCCCCCTCCACGTTCCATTTGGGCCGAACCACGTAGTCTTTGTTTGAGGGCATCGGGACTCGAGCCCGGGCGCAGAACCCGGGGTCTCCGGGCCGCAGAGCTCTGTTGGGAGCAGGCGTTCAGGTTAATGAGGGTGGAATTTAAACACGGCACAAAATTCCAGACGACAGAGGAGGAAGTTATGACAAATCCCGCCCCCAGATGTCTGAGAACTTACTTCTCCTCTCCGGTCAGCTGCTTCTCCAGGTCTCTGCGAGGCGTCTGACCTCCAGAACTACAAACAGAAGAAGAAGACATGAATTCAACTTCGAGTGTGAAGTAGCTCCGCCGCACCTCGCAGGTTTCTGAGCGATGTTCTTCACCGGCTGAGCCTCCATGCTGTTAGCAGCACGTCACTCCGAGCGAGTTAGTCGGCACCAAAACTTCCCGCACGGAACAAACTCAGCCCTGCCCGAGCTCCACATCGTTAGGGCAATAAAACACACACGGCTAACACTGCCGTTACAGAAACAGGCTCCAGTCTCTGCTCTGTTTAACCCCTCTGTGCAGCAGCGCCCCCTAATGTCTACAGTGGATATTAAAAGTATCAGCAGCTGTGACTGTATTAGTTTGTGTCGCAGATATGGACCGAAGCTGAAATAAGGCAGTCCTCCACTCCGGTGCAGTACCAGTTTCAACCACCGGGTGGCATCCAGTCCGCCTGAAACGCGCCCAAGCTAATGTTAGCGTTTCTAAGCTGACTTATTTTGATAGCTAGATGAGCTCAGAGTGGAGGTGGTAAAAACAGAGTTACAAGAAGGGCTTGAATCAAATATAAAATCTCAGCTTCAGTCATTTTCTTTAGTTGAATCACTCTGAAATAAATGCAAAGTATTCAAACCGGCCAATTCTGCTTCATCTCACAAGCTCCACCCACCTGTTTGTGAGGAGCAGCCAATCAGAGGATACTTAGAGGAGGCTTATTTTATACTGCAAATTATGCAAACAGACTCTATTAGAGTCCAAGAATGAAAAAGGAGCTGGAAATGAGCAGAACGGGTCACCTTTAAATCGTGCAGCTGCACTCATGAAGTCATTTAAGTCTCAGGGATTCATTCTGGTCACTTTGGTGCTGCTGTGGGTATCTGAGGAGTTACTAAGCTTTAGACAGAGGGATGTAAAACCTGCAGAGACGCGTTAAAGAAGGTAAACCTGGTCACTCAGTGCAACCATGCAACGTCAGGACTGAACCTGGTTGGTGGAGAAAAGACATCAGGTTCCTCTGCCCTCTCCACCTTCTGAGGCT